AAGATTCATAAAATATTTATTTACTATTTATACATATACGTATAAGTACTGTGATCACCAACCGAACCGATGGATATTCCATGACCACCGGAACAGCGGTTGTTGAAAAAGTTGCAATTTGTTCCCGAACCGATCGCGAAACAATCGTCTTGATTAAAAATTTGACTGTTTTGAATCGTTATATCATTGTTGTCGTTCAAATCAAATCCGTCAGTATTATGCCCACCCCTCGAATCCCCGTCCAAATTATCTATTCTGATGTTCGAAAATACGACATGATTGCTGCGGGTAACGGAAAAAACTTGTTTCGGGGTATTTCTTATGTTCAACCCTGTGACAGTGGAATAGTTTAACCTGGTTGCGCGGAAAAATTTCGGTTTTGATTTGCCACCATTTCCACCTTTTTCGTCCCACCACCTTTCACCATGGCAATCGAATAGGTGTCCACGTTCTCCGATGACAGTAATGTTTGAGCCGGAGACCACAATGAGATCGCCTTCCCATTCTGCGTATTCAAATCTTATGATTCCTTTGAAAGTTATTCTAGTACCACTTCGAAGTGATCTTAATAGTAAACTTTGCTTTGCAGGCACTGTGAAGTTTTGTATTACTATCTCAGTGCATTGTCGCTGAATAGAGTTAAGATTGTCCAACGAATTTCCCGTCAGTATGCAGTTTTCATCTTGTGTGAAAACTGTCGCAACTACTATTGCTAATCCAACCAACACTTTTAAATACAACTTCATAATAGTAATGAAAGCTTTGGGTATTTAGTTAAATTGATTGCTCAGTTTTTGCTTTTGATGATGGCGATGTTCAGTGTAAGTGCTGAAAGGTAAAAGTTTTGTTATTTTTATCAGACATTCTGTACAATATTTTAGCATCTTTTGAATAATTATTATTAATAAAAATAACAAATAAACAGTACTTAAACAATTAACAAAATTTATGTACCAGCAACAAATTAAACAATAAAACAGACAGATACAAAAATGGAAAACAACAGCCAAAACACAAAAAAAAACAACAAGTGAAAAACCAGTTATTACTAGAGGTGCATGCATGAACGGTTAAAGTTAGATTTCAAGGTAAAGGTGATTAAGGAGACAATGGAATAGAGATAGAGGGAAACAAAGGCATGTAAAAGAGTCAAATATTGAAGTGGTATTTAATTTTAATATCAAGTAATGAGAAAAGTACGACGACTTAATAAGGTATCTCCTAAATTTAGTGTTTTGATAGTTTTTCAATTATAAGAGAAAAATATTCAGTTGAAATTTCAGGATATGAAGATTTAACGTCGAACAATGAGCTACTACCACAAAATTATAGGGTTGTTCGGAAAGTCATTTCGTTTTTTCCTGACAGAGGATTTAATTGTATTCTTTTGCACCCAACTTCACATTTAAGCCCTATAATTTTTATATGCTTTGAGAGCTCATATAGCAAGGCTTGTGTGTGAAAAATTCCAATTAATTCTACGCAGTAGTTTTTGGTTGGTGCCCTTTTAAATATGG